CTCTAGTGGACCTTTACTCGGTTACAATAAAGCAACAAAGGCTTATCCCCTAGGGCCAACTTTTGACGAACGCTCTCATCTCCCATCCCTCAATCAAGACCAGATAATATCCGATCGCCAGATCTTTGCAAGAAAGCTACCTGCTGTTGAAGAGGGAGCAAGCAACACTCACCTTCAGCCATTCAAATCGCTCTTCCTTGCTGATTTGCAAAGCAATGGAATCAACCAAATGACGTTTGATTGGAAAGCACCAGACAAAGACATTTGGAATCGGACTATAGCGACTTTTGTTGTCAAGCATTGGAGATACGCATACACTCAGGGTGCTTTTAACAAGGAATCTATCACTCCCTCTCACGACACAGTGACTAATTGTATGGGCATAGTGCTCCGATGGATTCGCGGACGCACTGTAGACATTCGTCAATGTCGTCGGTCACCCGACAAGATTCTACAGAAGGAAACTCGGCGTAAAAAAAGAGTGGTGCGTTAAACATGTGTATGAAACCAGGCTGATCTTGACGAGCTGATGTTTGTTTTGCTTGAATCGATTAGCTGTTTAAATATCGCGTCGACTCACTCTCTCGTCTGCTGAAATCCAGTAAGCTGGACAATCTAACGTCCGAGATCATGCCAAATGTCGACTGTTGCTCCGACACGGAGTGGGACCCCGAAGAGACCAGATATCCTTCAGTTGGCCTTGAATGGCGCAGTGAACAATATACTAAGATACTCCATCAAATTGACGGTATCTCTTTCAAGTACTGTTCATCTACACGCGGACCTGCACATGCATGTAAAAGATTTGATCAATGTCGGAATGAGGCCACTCACACTAATCCACAAGCTTCTGTGTGTGTTGGCCTTCCTGAGAATTGTTATGACCCCCTATTTTTGTCAAACCTTATGCCTGAAGAGAAGGCTTCTCTTCACATAAAGCCTGTCTCAAACCTTCTAAGTGTACTACCCCTTCATATACAAAAGGCTGTTATCTAGAATCTCTGGTTATCTTGTGACTTATTCAAGTCGGTTTTGTACTCTTACGATATCAAACTTTAAATATTGAAAGGAATCTCATTTGTGTTTATAGATGTATAAGAGGTACTCAAGTACAAATTGAGAAATTCATAGCTATTCAGTCTGTAAACCTATTGAAAAACAATTGAATAGAATAGTGACATATCTATGCCGTGTTGTTCTACAAAAAAAGTCATTTTGCGTGTAACAATGTAACAACAACTGACCGTGTTTATCAATCCTTTACAAGTAAAAAATACATAAATAAATCCCATTGTTTGGTCTGTTGAGTCTTTTCTTGTATATAAGGAAACAGGCAGGAAAAATATGAACATGGTGAGAGGGGGTGGATTGGGTGAGTCGGGCTGAGGAAGTGGAAAGAATGGTGGGAGCGCAGCGGTGACATTGAATCATGAAGTCGGCTCGTAAGATGAGGTAATATCAGAGATTCCCTGAAAACATAGCTGTGTCAGTGTAAAGAGAGCAACGTAATAGAAAGTGGAAAAGTCACTCACCATACTGCGAAGACTGACCAGCGAGACCGTAGGCTTGTGTATGCCAAAGGTGCCTGATCGATTATGAATCGCAGCACAGTGTCCATATATATCTTGGGTACGAACAGACATCAGAGAAGCCTCGTTGTACACAACTCTGGCTTTTAGATGCGGTAGCGATTGATAGGGACTATGGGAGCTGTCAGTTGAGTTCAACTCCCGAAACCCATGTATCAAAAAGATAGGTGCAGTATGACCATGAGGCCGTATGATATACTGAATAACTCCGGTTAGCGATTGTCCGTTATGCGTGAATTCTACATAGCTGTTCCCGCGATGTTCAGCAAAATTACTAAATGACTTTCCCGCATGTCTCCAAATTGAAGTGGTCTCAAGCTTCATTTCGGCTTCGGAAGACATCTCTGGTAAAGATTCTTGGATGCAAGCCCTAATTTCAGAAGAGGGTAAAAAGTCCTTCCACTTCGGTGATGATGTTGCTAATATTATATTGGCACCAATGTCCTCAGCGTAATCAGGTGGTGCATTTCTGAGGAAGTTGACGAAGAAAGATTTCAAAGTGTGTTTCTTGATCATGGTTTTGGCGACAATACCTGCAATGACGGGATGAAAAAGTCAAAGGTTAGAACATGAAACCACCCTTCAATTGTCTAATCATAGAAAACTTACCACGGTGTGCGCTTTTAGAAAATGCCACTAATGAACCTATGATGCGTTCTCCAGCCCAAGCAGCAGTATATGATGGTGGACCAAGAAGACGGCATTGAGCAGCAAGATGTTGTGCAAAGTGTAAGTTCGGCTTGGAAATGTGACCTGGCCAAGCTTGCAGAAGATGCTTTCGGTAGTCAAGAAGTAGGCTTGAAAGAGTATCGATATCCTTGTCAGTCAGTGTACGAGAAACACAGATATTGGTTACTTGCGTGGCGAGTGTGATGGCCGTGTGAATTTTTGCGGAATCTGAATGATGTTCAGCTTGGTGATGATAAGGAACCAGTGAAAGAAACATATAGACTGTGTATAAGATCAGCCACTCTGCGGCTTTGGGGGTGCCAGAAAATGGCATCCCAATCTTGGAAGGAACACGGGTAAGCCAAGAAGGTATGATAGTATCTTCTATACATGTGTGTATCAATTCTAGCTCGTGAACCGTGAGTTTTGGACCTGGTGGTGGTCTGAAAGTTTTCGCAGAGTCATCGCTATTGTCACTGCTGCTCTTGCTCGGCTCATACGAATTTTCGGTTGGTGTCTTAGATTTTGCAATTCTTGGATACTGGGGGCGATTAGTTAAAGAGCTGCCATCTGACGGTAGTTTTTCTGAGCTCTGAGGGGGAGAATCAATAGCCATCTGAACATCAGCACCAGAAGGTGTGGGACTGAGGGGATTGGGGTAGTTGCCGTTGGCCAATCGGGTTTCCTCAATCTTCTTCAAAGCTTGCCCGGCTGATGAGATTTGAAGAAACGTATTTGAAAGGTCAGCCAAAAGGCCAAGAATCACACAATGCATAACGTCCACGGTAGCAAACTCAAGTGGCTGCCAATAGGGGAGTTGATAAAACGCTGAGTACCGTGCTCCATTTGCTTTCAGAAGGTTGTCTTTCTTCTTGAGTGTTGGGGCATCAAGCCAACTCTGGACTTGGTTTCGATGTGCAAGCGTGGAACGGGGTTTGAATATCTTGAAGTCGACTTCATTCCTATCATCCTTGATAATATAGCACTTAGAGCAAAAATTGATGGAGTTATGGGCAGAAAAACCTGATATCTTCTTCATGGCAGGTACATCAGCGATAAGTGGCCAAAGTGCTACTCGAATGATTCTTCCGTTTGGATGCAGAGCAGTCTTGCTGAATCGGATACCTTTCCAAAGGTCATCGAGTTCTTTGAGGAGTGGTGCGATTATCAGGTCCATCTGCTCACTTCTGGGCTCGCGACGATTGGGGGTGATGCCATACAAGAAAGTATTTTCGGCTCGGTATCGAATGGAGGGTGGGAGGTTGAGACATATAAGTAGCATGAGGCCGGCTGAGTGTTTGCGACCACGTTTAGTTCCATAAGGTTCAAACCAGTCGCAATAAAAAGCAAATACAAGGTTTCCAGAGGTGCGTGTATAAATCTGGCCGTCGGATTTAAAGGTCTTCCAAAGCTTTCCATCCCATATATCTGTGAGTGTGCCTTTGGGTGGTGGTGTGCGATTGATAGAAGTATCTAGGTCGCTTTCAAATGCTGTTGAATGAAGCATTTTGGCTAACCATTCGCTTAAGCTCTGATGATAAAAAATTTGACGAGGCCGCCATGAACCGGGGGTTTTAGCAGATTCGATTTTTTTGTATAAGGGTGCTTTGCAAACAAAACGTCGTTCGTTGGGCTTGGCAATGGAGTAACGAAGGTGATCACAAGTTTTTTTCTCGGGTTGCTTTTCAGGTGGGCCATGAAGGGCATAACAGACATGGCAAGAAACTGTTTCGTAAATAGTGGATTGAAGATGGAAAGTTTTGACTAGTTTGTCGACGGTCAGGGGAATCTCTTCCCAAATACGCGTGGTTGAGGAATTTGTGGCGGTAAGCGAGGTGCGGAGTTTGTGCCGCTCCAACTTCAGCGAAGTTTCGCAGCCTTTCACAGGTCGATTCTTTGATACGTAATCATTCAATACATGAACCATGGATTGCACACACGAGGTATCTTGAAGAAGGGTCCGAGGAATATAGTAGGGCTGAGTGTTGATTTCAACTGAATATTGGGCACTGGACATCGAGTTTGGAGGGTCTTGAATGGTTCGGAAGGCCTGTGTCATAGAAGGTGAAGCCGGGTCAAAAGCGTGTGCAAGGGAGGCACCACTGAAGACTTTGCGAAGCTTGCGAGCAGGTTGCTCGGCAGGTAAGGTGGACGTAGATGGTACCGGAGTTTCTGGAGATGGTGATCGTAACCGTTTTTTATTTGAAGCTGTAAGTGAAGAGTGATGGATTCCACTGTCACCTGGCTGGGCCGATTGGCTTAAACCATGAAGGTCAAGATGAAGATCGTGTTGAGGTGAATTCGCCGAAGTCTCATCATTTGGTAATGGGATAGTCACTCCGGAAGCCTCTGATTTAATCAAGTGGCGTGGGTAGTTGGTTCGGTGGAAAAGACGACCAGTGTGTGTTTCTCCATCCTTGGTGAATTGTCGAATGGAACATCCCAGCGGGACACAGGTGCAGCAGACGTGATCGCGGCCAAAAGAAGTCATTTCGAAAACATAGAAATCAGGTTGAGACGATGACACTTGGATTATGGAGTAGCGTAGATTGATTATCAGCAAGTCGTGACGGAATTTTGAAAGTTTAAATACTAAGGAGGATGGAGGTGATTTAAGATATTCAAGCAAAACAGCAAGAGGTGAGAAGAGGGCAGAAACAATAGGGCACGGCCCAAATGGAATTTGGGGCTTTGCCCTCTGAGTGGAGGCCGGTGTTTGGAGCAAGTGTGATGCTTACAAGAAGGTTTCTATGTGAAAGCCGATCAACACATCAAAACAGAGGTATGTATAGCCCTCTGATCTCAAATGAATATGAGAACACAAGAGAACACAATACGTTCCTTCTGAATACATAAATATACACATGAAATAAAAAAGTGGAGCACAACAGAGCACAACTATATACACAGGATGAGAGAACTATATACACATGATGAGACGTAATCTCACCCCACTTTCACCCTCTTATGATCAACCAGAGCAAACCTTTTGAGCATTACTCTATTGCGCTATCTATATACACATTTGAACCCCATGCATGCCACATCCTCACAAGTAAATGGTCCTAAAGACTACCTTGATCCCTTTTGAACCTCCAGCACCGTCCAGTCAAGATTGTCCAGTCAAGATTGCATTCCTGTTGCCTGACGTAACCGGGCTTCCAAAATATCTACCTGACGTACCCGTGTTTGTAAGATCTCTTGAATAGCTGATTTGATGTCCACAGTAGCGTTTTCATTTAGACCTAGTTCTGAAATCACCAATCCATCTTGCAAGTCTAGCCAATTTTGAGAAACTAACGACTGTTGAAACCCTTTTGGTGGAAATTGATCAGGCTCAGCATTGGGTGCGTAGGCTCCACGCTCAACCGTTTGCTTGGCCGTACGCTTTACTTTTGGATTGATCTGTTTTTGCCAGTGACATTGGTCCAGCAATGAGATAAATGTATCCAGTTCACTGCTTCGCCATTCCAACCTTAACTTTTGCCGTGTACCAAATGTGTTTGATGTATCTGTTATCAACTCGTCCTCTGAATGAATTTCGGGATGCGAGATCATTTCCACCTCGGCCGAACCTTCGCCAAAGTGCAACGTTGCTTCTTCCACACGCAATTCATAGATCTTTGAACCATGATCAGCAATGATCAGCATCTTTCCTTGACCTCCTTGTGAACATAGATACACTGTACACTCACCTTTTCTTTGCTACGTTTCTTGTTTGCTCTTTGTTGTAACTGCGCGGCTTGCTCCATCATCTTCTGTTTACCACCATCGGTCTTCATCAATTCGACTTGCCGAGATTGTTCTCTAAATTTCGGGGCCTTATTGCTACACCAACGTCGAAGAACCTCTTCGCGATCTGCAGCATTGTTATCGGAACTTAGGATCCCAAACCCCCTCGCTCCATGAGCGTCGTAAGTCTTTACCCACTGAGCTAGAATGATTGCCGCAGTAGCCGAGTTCCATGGTGTGTCGTAAGAAGCGTTCCAATCGAAAGTACAACGCGGAAAACCAGCAATTGCAAGCGCAGCTTCGCATTGTGTTCCGAAGTGGTGTGCATATCGAGAGCGTCCACTAGCAGACATACGGGACTTGAAAATCACCGGCCTCATTGGATTTTTCTGGGCTGCTGATTCCGCGGCGTCCTTTTCTATCATCTCCCTCTGTTTTCTATTCGGTTTGAACCCTTGCGGTTTTTTTTTGACATACTTCTCCATTGCTTTCTCTTGAGCTTCTCTGATCAGTGTTTCTCGACGCTGTTGACGGTTGAGCCACGCTTCCATTTCTTCTTCGGAGGGTGGATCGGGCAATTTTTGACAGGCACCTTCCGCAACCGCAGTGCTCAACCCTTTGCGAGGAATTCCCATAACCAACCTGGTGAATTCGTGGATCGCTCTAGCCAGTGGAGTTACAGCTTTAGGGATTAGATATGCTGCCGCAACCTTCCCGATACCTTCGTCGCGGTGCCGTATTTCACCAAGTTTCTTTTGTTCTGCCTTGCGCTTCCTTTTGCGTTCGAGCTTGTCCTGATGAGTGAGTTCGCCATCTGTTAAAACCACAGATACACACATCAGTGCGTTGCATCGGCCTAACGGAGTTTTTGCAGGCTTGTTCTACTTACCTGAACCTCCATCCGAGTCCGAATCAGACCCCCTACGATCATCGTCGTTGTCTGACAGAATTCAAAAGATTCAGTAAATCAGTAAGCTAAATAACACCATCAAAAGCATGCCACGACACAAGTTCAAACTTTGCTAAACTACTCACTGGTGCCCTGACCATCATTTTGTACATCTTCTAATCGCCTTTTCTTCCCAGACGAGGTGGTACCTTGGGTCATAGTTGGTAGTGGAGCACTCATTTATACTATTAACAATGAAAACCAAAATGACGACTATGTATAAGTGTGAAAGAGAGAATATTTGACAAAAAAAAGAGAGACGGGTTGATAGCACACTGATGAAAGTGCGATCTCAAAACTACGCTGCTATTAACGAGAAATTTCGCTAGTATGATACAAAGGGCATTATTATTTGACCGTTGGACCCGGCCACACCCTGAAAAGACGTTTGACACAAACCTTTGTGTCTTTCGAGGTACTGAGCCTTTGTGGCCGTATCAGATGTCCAACGGACGTTTTGAAAAGGTTCGAATTGCCCTGACCTTGCTAAATTACTATCATGTTAACTCTGCTTTTCCAGTTAATGCTTTTAGGCTACCCAGGGCGAGCACTATCTATCAATGAAATGTACCCGATCATCATTAAACTGGAGGGAATTTCACAATTCCTCTCTTGTTAGCCAAATCCCGCCACTCAAGTCGTTCAACGCTCGAACTCGGTATAACCAAGACCAAGCGCCAGTTTGAGAAACAAACACCAAAAGTGATATTACATGAAACAATTTGAACACTTGCTAGAGTTCAGCAAGCACCTGATGTACATATAATGAAAAGGAGTTCTGAGCTCAGATACCAGACAAGCGACCCAAGTTTACATATACTATTTCATAAGGACAAAGCATTCTCTATTACATCACTGGCCTTTCAGAATCAGAGCCATTTGAGAGAGACACACCGTAAAATACAAAATATGAGAAAAAAAAGAGTAAACAAAGCATCTCCACCACGCTACCTCAGGGCTCAGATTTATCCACTCAACAAGACCGTCATAATTGTGTAATTAAGCTGTGGAACATAAAAAAGCCCCAGTGGATCAATTTTTCACGAATCATTATGCAGAGGCTGGAGAAATCTACATACCACTTATAATCAAATTTGTGAATCGAGCAACTGGTCCGCTTGGCTCGTTTCGCCCAATTGTTGTTGTGATTTATCCAATTCTAAACGACCTTCCAATGATTCAATCTTCTCTTTGAGCTTGGTGATGTCTTCCCTCGCCTGTTTCAATTCTTCCAAGTGCAAGGGAATCGAGTTGAGTATGTTGTTTTGGAATCCCTCGATAGTCTTATTGGAGTCGTTTAAGTTTTCTTTCAAAGTTGAAATTTCATCTTGTAAGAGACGCTCGATACGTTTGAGTTCAATCTGACCAGATGGAGAGATGCTATCATCGTCTTCATTTTCACTAAGCTCGAGCTCATCACACGAAATATCTTCGTCACTGGTGTAATAATCATTGTTCATACCACCTTCTATGTGATAAAAAAATTGAGTTTGGCCAGAAGGGAAGATAGTCTCCATTCGATTGATTTCGGGCAATACCATCGGTTTCATTTTGAGTGCCCAACGATCACTTGGTAGCAAAGTATCTTTAAATTCGTCGCTATACATATCAGATGGAAGATGACGAGGTACAAAACCGTAGTCATTTGAATCAGACTCGACGTATTTGCGGGGGATACGACCGCTTCCAGGAAAGCTGGTGCACAAGGCCGCATAAGAGTGTACCCGTCCCTCAATGACTTTCATTAAGCTAACAGTCTTCTCAGACCACCATCGAGGTATGAATACGTGAACCTCGTCCGATCCTTGGTTGCCAGCGGTGACTTTCACTTCGGCTTTGTTACCCATAATGAAGTGGTTTCTTGGTTGAAAGATTGATAAGATACCTTCAGAAACGCCCGACTTGACCAAGTAGTCCGAGTACTCTTTGAGTGCCTGAGGAAAGAATTTGAGTCAGTACAAACTAAAAGATGAGAATGTAAGTACCACCTGCCTTTTTCTTTTCGTCTACCATGCAGTGGTAGTCAAGAATTTCCAAGCTGTTGCATTGGGCCCGGTACATTGATTGAAGGTTCTTGAACTCATTGGAGAGCACTGGGAAGACAATCGCACGGCGGAGAACGTGTTGGCTTATAGTGAATTTGTACGATCGAGATTTGACAGCACGGTAAAACGACGTCCAGAAGAGTTCAGACATTATAATGTTTACACGTTCATCCATGGTGCCTTCATAGTAGAAAGAGAATCGTCGTTGGCCCCATCGCATCAAGTCTAATTCCACTTCGGCGAAATCGTTGCTGTTGAAGTGAGGACCAGTCTTGACAAAATCGGTCGAATCAATCAAAGCCACTGAAGTCGCGCATGGCTCTATATCACCAATACGAAAGCGGTCCAAGATACCATCTCGCTCGTCCGCTGAGAGAGTTGGTGGGATTGGTGAAGAATTCGACTCGCGACACATCAAGACGCGAAAATGTCTGCGGACAAGCGACTGAGTGATTCAGGTTTGTTCAGTAACGAATATATCTATCATAGAGAAGGAAACAGGGGAAATAACACACGTGGACAGTTAACATCTCAGCTTTAGTTACCAACCCAAGCTTCTCATTTTGACGAACGATACGAAGCCATCTCTTTGGACTTTTTGATCTACGGGGAGTTTTTGTAAGGTTTGATCAACATTAGGACGGAAACTTATGGGGTGAATGAGGATTGAGAGCAGAGTGAATCCGACCAGTATTTATAGATGGGTGAAGTCGAGATCTCTGATGTGTCATATTCGCTCCCCATTTTACACCCCCCAGGACTTTACAAAGAGGGTTTGGCAAATCAGAAGGTTTCGGTTTGAGGGCTCTCGTCTTTCTTTGCTGTAGGACCTTCAAAAACACAGTGACATCAGTTGTTATTGATCATGTTCCACTTGGTGGAGGGTTTTGGGAGAAAGCCGAACCTAATATATGTCGGCAGTGATTGGTTAACATCACAACTGCTCGAGCGGATCAAAGGCCTTGAGTGTTTGGCTGGATCGGAGCTGATTTACCTATCCGAGTTGATCTGGTAATTTGATCCCATTGCTCCACTTACCCTCACTCCTCAATCTTTGTATCCGAGACCAACCCATAATTCTTTCATAAAGAATGGCTTGTGCGCGATGCCTACCGATTATGAAGTGACACAAAGACCTTGCCGGCTTATCGGAAAGAAAGACATGCAATTAATCCACTAGTCAGACCAAATTACGAAAGACAAAATCGAAACGCACAGGGCATAGCAGGTAAGACTCACTGAAGACTGTGGTATCCACGCGTTTGAGGCTGTTGGTTGATTGTGAATGTGTGGTCCCCGCTGTCCCTTGATGTAACCGTTCTGAAGAAGGTCTCATATCGCTAATTTGCATGGATATCAAAAAAGACTCTTTGGACAATCGAGGAGACAAAGATCAACAAAAAGATATGCGAAAGACTGATATCGAAGTGGTAGTCAGGGGACATCTGACTGCTGTGCATGCAGATTGATTGCAGTGCGTGTCATGAAACTTGAGGCGCCAGGCAAAAAACGGCAGCGCTTTCCTGATTCATGAAGTCGATACAAGATTCTCATAGGCAGAAGCTTGGGTAAGAAAGAGCTTCAGTTGAGAAGGATATCAAGGCGCTGGTATGTACTGTGTCAATCAACAGCAAAGATGAGGAACTAATCCACAACGACAAAGGTGGATTATCTTTGTATAACGAGCGGACCACTAAGATGCATTGACAAAGGGTAATCTATACTATGACTGTTGCGTGTCTCTAGCAAATCTCTATCATAACTCTCTCGTGTGTGCACGTCGACGTGCTACAAGAATAAAGACACGGTGATGGTATCAATGAAAGGACTGAAAGTCACATCAAGCCAGACCCCAAAACCACCATCAACTAACATGATCATCAATGTCTTTTGCCCCAGCCATGTTGTGATCTGTGTCATCAAAGTTGAAGGCAAAAAGGTGTTTGATGGAATCAAGTCATTGGAAATTGTAAACTGTGTCAACAACACCTTAACTCAACTTGACATCAAGATTTCAGGACAAAATATCAAAGTTCACGGAGCAGCAAGCCTATAATTTGGAAGCATTAAACTTTTCATGGCAATGCAATCTGGAGCGGAATGGCCGCTAGACAACAGAAGCACTTGGACAATTCTAGCTGACCTCAATCTGATTACATCCGCTGCTGTTTCCCCACGAGTTATAGATTTAGTGCCAATGGAATATTACTTGAAGATTGAGAAAATCAAACAAACATTAGCAGAACAGACAATCCACTCCATACAATGGCTCAGAAAACCAGTTAAAACCTCACTCCCGGCCAAGTTTGTCTTCTGTATCCTTGCGCCAAGGTCCAAGACAGCACTGAAGCCTGCTGATGCCAAATAAATTTGTTGGGTTGTGTTGACAGGCATACTTGAAGAAGATCCCCCTTGTGATTGGACATCTCAAATTTGGATGTGCCCATAGACACCTTGGAACAATTCATGACCAACAATACTGGTATGATAAAATAAGAAACG